ACTTCGGAAACCTCCAAAAGAGGCCATCAGTTCGTATGCAACTTGCCCCATCCATTAAAGCCCCACCGGCACCTGGCAGCGACCAAGCGGTATGACCTGAAGGGCTGAAAGGGCTGAAGCGGTGACGCTCAAAGGGCCGTTCGTAGCACCGCCAGTTGTGTCGGAAAGTCGAAACGGTGTAGCCCGCAATGGCCGATGTTCATGGGATATGTCACCAGCAATATTGATGATTATCGATGGATATGTGGCTTTGGACCAGCAATATATGGGATTTATGATTCAGGCCCATAAAAGTTGCCATTTAGACAATGAACATGATGACAAACGCCTGGATTTGGGGGTTCCATTTCTTTCAACAAATACCAACGCCCCATGAACGACAGAACATTTTGAAGGGTCCCCGACAATGGGACGTGGGGTCATTTCACTCATGATACATATACTCCCTGCTCCAGCCTTGTTGGTATGTGTCAGAATTGGATGATCCTCAAACTGCATGGTCAAATACCATAATGATCCAAAATGCGGATGCAGTGATACCTGGTCGATGTGATCGTTGTGAAACGATGCTAGCGCTCTACCTTAGATAAACATGCACTGGCAAGCCCTAAGTGACAGATCTTTGGCTGGTGAAAGCCCAAGTCTTGATGGATTAGAACCTCAATTGTGTTGAATTGAATCGGCATGTTTTATGGAGCACGACCCCCTACTTTTTCCCGGGGGGGTGACTCCCATCATTTCTGGATCAAGCCAAAAAAAAAACAAGCAGATGTCAATGGCAGTGTCTGCTCACTTCAGGTTGGAAGAAGTCCAAAATTGAATAAAATTGATATGTCTACTTTGGGCCCAAAGGCGAACCATGGGTTGTGTAGCCCTAGATGTGTTAGTTGGTGGGTTCATCCCACTAGTTTCGATGAAAATCATCTGGAAACCATGTATATAACTATGGATGACCATTGGATATTGAAGATAGTGATACAATATGTCACTAGTATCTATATCATTCATATATATATATATATACATATGGGGTGTTTGCAAAATGTTGGTTCCCGAAAGCGGTCGAAATTCGCGTTCTGCCTGGGGCCCGCCTTTTGGCGAATTCATTTCTCACATGTCCTCTTTTTTTAAAAAAAATCAAGGTGGCTTAATAGCCTCAGCCTTTTCCCTAAAATTGTTCCTAGTTTGACTGCCAGTGCTTATTTTTTTGAAGTTGAAGAAGACTCCGGGAAAGGTCAGAAACAGGTCAGAAACAGGTCAGAAACACCAAAAAGGCAGCACTTGCCTAGCATCCATCCATCCATCCACCTCATCTCTTACCATTGCTACTTCTACTTCTACTACTACTAATACTTCTACTACTTCGATTACTACTACTACTACTACTACTACTACTACTACTACTAACTACTAACTACTACCTACTACCTACTACCTACTACCTACTACCTACTACCTACTACCTAACCTACTACCTACTACCTACTACCTACTACCTACTACCTACTACCTACTACCTACTACTTACTACTTACTACTTACTACTTACTACTTACTACTTACTACTTACTACTTACTACTTACTACTTACTACTTACTACTTACTACTTACTACTTCCTACTTCCTACTTCCTACTTACTACTTACTACTTACTACTACTACTTACTACTACTACTTACTACTACTACTTACTACTACTACTTACTACTACTTACTACTACTACTACTACTACTACTACTACTACCACTACTACTACCACTACTACTACCACTACTACCACTACTACTACTACTACTACTACTACTTACTACTTACTACTACTACTACTACTACTACTACTACTACTACTACTACTACTACTACTACTACTACTACTACTTACTACCTACTACTTACTACCTTCTACCTACTACCTACTACCTACTACCTACTACCTACTACCTACTACCTACTACCTACTACCTACTACCTACTACCTACTACCTACTACCTACTACCTACTACCTACTACCTACTACCTACTACCTACTACCTACTACCTACTACCTAACTACCTAACTACCTAACTACCTACTACCTAACTACCTAACTACCTAACTAC